TTTATTTTTGAAGATTTTAGACCATCTACCTTTAAATTAACTTATAGTTTTTTTAAATTGATTTTTTTTTAAAGAAAGTAGATTACTAACTTTTATAGAAATTTTTATTTGATTTTAGAGGTTATAGATTATATTTTTTAATTTAATTTTTTGAATTTATTTGATTTATTTATAGAAGGAAAAATTATAGATGCTACTCTTAATAAAAGTAAGAATAGATTTGCAACTATTATAAATCTTTATGATTTTGTCAACACTCTTAGAATAGAAATCTTACATATTTTCAATATGAATCATAGAGATATTATTCCTATACCTATAGAAGAAGTCAGCAATCAAGTCCAAAGTCTATGCAAAGAAATTGTGTAATTAAGAAAAATAAGTGGATTAAGTTTACAACTAAATTCAAGAAGTCTTATTACTACAAGTATAAAGAAGGCAAAGATAAGTACGTTTAAAAAGTTTGATGGAAAAAAATTAAAGTTTTAAGGATTTCTATAATATGTAAAATTCTAATTAAGGTTGCATCTTTCTTACTACTCTAATGGATTTACTTAAATCAAGTTTATAAGAGTATTCTTTAAAAGTGTTATTTTTTGATTTGCATATTTTATAAAAAAAATATTTAAGACTATTATATAATTTTAATTTATTTTTAGAATTATTTATAATTATATTTAGAAAAAATAATTAAAAAATCATAATAGAAATTAAGTTCATATTTTTATAATAAAAACCATGTTCAGCCACCATAAATGTTGCTAAATTTCAAAACCTTACTTGTAATGTAGATTAAAATAATAAAACTCTTATTAATAAATTTTGATATGGATTAAAAGATAATATTAAAGATTTATTATTGACAATACCAAAAATATCTTATTGAAGTAATTTTTTATTGAAGCTATTCCATGCAAAAATCAATTCTTTGAAAGACATAAAGAATAAAGATTTGCTTGAAGAAGTATAGGTCAAGTCATAGCAATATCTTCTAAGTTTTTGGAAGCTTATTCATCTAGGCCAAATCCTATGCAAATTGACATAATATGTTTTGAACTTCTTACTTAGCAAAAAAAGACTTGTCATTGTCAAGAAGTTTTATATTTATATTATGAGTGTAAATTTTCACTCCTCAACTTAAGTTACAAGATGGCCTCAATTAAGAGTTTTTTGTAATTGGTGGTGTAAAGGGAAGTAAGCAATTAATAAGAACAAAAGAAAAACAACCACAAAGCAATAGAAATAAATGACATGAAGCAATTACAACATCCAAAACTAAGTCACAATTTGTTCACTATATTTTCACCTAGTAAAAATGAAATTAAAAAAATAAAAATTATATTTTTAAATATTTTATTTTATTTTCTTTCCAATGACGTAAGAAACATGTAAATCCGAATTACTATGAGTAAGTTATGAAGTTTTAAAGATATGAAATAAATAATTGAAAAGTGAAGTAAAAATATTTTATCTCAAAGGTAACTTGCTTATAAATCAAGGATTCGAGCCTCACCAAGGCTCACATGTAGTGTATAAGGGTGTTTTAGAGGCGCCATGAGGCCTTAGTCTTATCCTCCTAACTACCTTCAAGGTGCTACAACCCATATGGAACTTATGCACTTCCCTTCCTACAAGGATTATATTAGCTGCTGGTCCTCCTATTTTCTACTAGAAGGACCAACATTTTTGTAATTTTGACCTCACCATGGTGTTCAAAAACACCCAATTAGTCAAAGATCTTCGTGTGGCCTTCAAATCTTCCTCCATTTCTTCATCAAGGCTCCCAAAGTCGTAAAACTTATTTTTACCAAGATCTTAAAAATTGTTCTAAAAATTCCTAAAAAATTCTAAATAAATTCTATAATATTTCTATAATACTTATATCCATCTAAGGCTACATTTTCCTACCTTGCTGATTTTTTATAATAATAAAAATCAATTAAAATCTACTATAAATTCTATTTTTTATACCAATAGCTAAAATGACATGAGGTTCTTTCTCATGCTTCTTCTAACTACTAACATTTATAGTTTTTATAAGTAGTACATACAGATAGAAGACTAATATAAATATTTGTCTTAATAAATAATCCTTACTATTCAATAATGAATAAAAATACTAAACTAATGAAGATAGTTGCCTCCAAATCTTACTAAGACTCTATTTCCACCACTAACATTCTAATTTTCTAGTTTTCTAAGCATTTCTATACTACTTACTATATCTTGTGATTCAAACCATTCTAAATGCATATTTTTATCCTAAGACAATAAATGAGTGAATTTGATGACTCACATATATTATGGGGAATCCAAGTATACTATTGAATATTATCTAAATAAGCAACATAATCACAAAATCAAGAATTTGATTGCTAAAGAGGACAATGTATTAAAAAATAAGTTTTTTTTAGCTACAATAGAGATTGTGTGGCTAAAATCTTGTGCAATACCTAGTAAAGGTCATATTTTCTTCTTAAATCCTTCATCTTGTTTCACAATAAAAATTTATTTAAGACCAAAAAATTACAAAGTCTTAGCCTTGTTAGATTCAAAAGCCTCAGCTTATTTTATAGGTAAAGACTTTGTAAAAAATAAGTTTAGTAGATGTCCAAATTAATATATTAAAAATATATATTTTTTAAATACATATATAAATTTATATTTACCTAATAGTTCTTTTTTAAATTATGAATAGTGATAAAATTAAATTCTCATTAATCTTAATTACAACATAAAAGTTAGTATTTTTAAAAAAATCAAATAATGCTCAATTTAATAAATGTAAGTAGAAGAAAATAGAATTAACTTAAGCAGACAATGCCATCTTTATAGAATATCAAAGAAGCTTCTTAGAAACTAATGACATTTGTAGGTGCATTATGTGAGTTTAGAAACTTCTCTTACAAGTTTTTTATTTCTACAAAACAAAGATAGGAACATCTAACACTTAATACATTAGGCATAGAAACCTTTAGTTTTTAAGATAAGTACAAATGACCTTTATATTTATTATTGTATATGAAAGCCAAAATAAAACCATTATTTATATTTTTAATATATTATCATACAATGAGTATGATAAAAAATTATGCAACTACTAACAAAATATGAGTTTTATAGCAAATTAATTGTTTGGTATGTAAGTGTTACATAGATTAAAATAATATTTATTACTCAAATCTTTAACAGATTACAATATGGTAAGAAATTCTTGTTCCATTCTCTATCTTTGAACTTTGAGTTAATAAATTATTTTTGTTATTATATGCAACAATAAAAGTTTTTAATTTTGTTTAAAAAATTATGTATTACAATGCTATTACAATGCTATTGGCAATTGAAACAAACAATTAGAATAAAAATATGTAGGTTAATAGCACAAATTCTAAAGATCTTAATAAAAAAAACTAAAAAACTAAAACCATGGCTTTCTTAAGAAGCATTCTGTTTATATAAAGGAGAATCTAATTATACGATTTGAGTTTATTTATGATATCAATGGAACTACAAAATAATAAGTGCAAATTATAAATAAATAAATTATAAAGTACTTAGTTTATTCAATTATAATAGAGATTATAAAATTATATTTCTTTATAAGTTCATTAATTGAAGGTCTTAAATCATCATTTAATCTTCTCTTTGTTTTATAGTAAAAAATTATTTAGAACTTAAAGTTTGTGCAATTTCTTTGCTTATAATATTGATATTGGAGTTCTATTTTAATTTAATTTTTATTCTAGAACCTTTAGAAGATTTTATTGTGATTATACATTTGATGTTTATCAAACATGTTAAGTGTAATTCTAGAATATGATCTAATGTGCCAAATCATCAAGTCCATCTTTAAACCTAATATGTGTCTCAAAACCTTCTTTACAACAAGAAGGTGCTCCATGGTATTTCATCTATCCACATATTAGAAGAATAGTATTCTAAGCATTTAAGGCTTATCTCAAAAACTTCATGAAAATTTTATTAGATGTTTTAATATCTATGAAATTACAAACACATATTTTAAAAAAAAAAACTTAGATTTTTTTTCTAATTATTTTTAAAATATGGGTTAAAATTCAATCATTCAAAAACACTTTTGTAATAGTTTTTAAACCACATTAAGTATGAAATAAGAAAATTTCTAAATCCACAAAACATCAAGGCCCTTGTGGATATTCATGTCCCAAATAACATCACATTTGCAACAAGTGTCATATTTCGTATAACTATGCAATAAAAATAAAACTTGTTACCAAAATAATTTGAAAAAATACCACATTGTGTGTGGTTGTAAATGTGAGAATTCTCTTCAAAAGCCATAAAGCATAAATACTTGGATGTCCCTATCTTCATTCTCATGAAGTAGAGTTGATGGTTTTATGTTCACACTCATATAACTGGCCACTTAGAATGGACCAGAACCAAAAACCATGAATGTTTTCACAAAACTCCAACCAAGATCTAGCTTTTCACTTTGACGTGGGTGTCTGTTGGAAAGGCAAACTATCTGACATTGTTGTTAATGAATGATGAAAGGGCAAGGTGAACATCCTTTACCTCTAATTTCCCTAATCCTGCCGTGGAGGAAAGATGAAAATCCATTCCGAGATGAGACATTCAAAACTCTTTTCTGTGTGGAGGATTTTGACAAGAGCTGCCGCATACAACCCCTTAACATAATAAATTTAAATTTATTTTGGGAAACCCTGGGAAGAAGTGTTTCTAAATAATGTTAGCATTTCGTGCTTTAGGCCTACATGAGATAGTTTTGAACATTTTTATCTAAACGATTCTCCTCCTTCGTGTATCTCAATCAAACCACCCCATTCGAGACCATTAGGAGACCATTGGCACTTTCAGAGCTTGTGATGATTGAAATTGAGACTGCATCCGACCCTACCCACGCATTTGCTTGGCGCTAGCATCATGTTTAGTAACAGCCAGACTCTGGGGCGTGAAAGCGATAAATACACCAGAGAAAACATACATTGAGACGTATATAGGAACAACATGCTGGAGTGCCGATGATAAAATGAACTCCACCACCGAATTTAAAGGAGAAAACTTATCCAAAGTGAATAATGAAAACAAACATTTTTTCTGTACAAAGAACACCTTACCTCCCCCTAACCCAATATTAGGTCAACTTTCATACCAACGACTCCAAGTACTCACCAAACGCATAGTAGACCCTAGGCTACACGGCCTTTCCCTCCGGTTCATTTTTTCTACAACGAGCTCACAAATATGAATTCAAACCCCGGGTCACAGGCCACAGGCCATGAATCAGTCTCTGGAACTGAAGAATAGACCCATCTCCACTGTCTTGCAAACAGGAGAAATCACAGGGCCTTGCATGCATATGTTGAGAAAGAGGTACAGTCCTCCAATTGGCAAGCTGCGCAGCTACAACTGCTAAAACACCATCTATGTAGTCACAACTGTACATCATCTTGGAGTTTGGTCCGATCCTTGGTTGCCAGAAGCAGGGCCAGACGGTACACCACTAGCTGTTCCATTATCTGCTGGGGGGCCTGTACCCCATTTCCCCTCAGATTCTAGTGGCTCTATTACTTGAACGCCTCCATCACTCAAGCCCAATGCAAACTGGTTTGGCTCCGCAGGGTGCGCGGCAATCACTAGGGGGTAAACCGTCGATCTGCCACACCAGCATACATCACATGTTTCAAGCCAGTCGTCAAAAAGAAGAAGCAAATAGAAACCAAAAATAGGCAAGAAAGAACCAATACAACTTGTTGAATTCCAATACGATATGCAAAATCAGTGGTACTCATGTGCATGTGAATCAGGTTTAGGACTTTCTCAACAATGCATTCCATACCCGCTTACTCCCGAAGGTACGTGCACAGTTGGGGCAAGTCGGCATCGTGGTCGTAGACTTTCGGCATCGAAGACCCCAACAGAACCATCAACAAAGCCCGCATAAATAAGCTGGCTGTCACAGGAGTAGGTAGCATTCGAAATAGCTGCTGGGAAGGGGTTTTGAGGAACCCACTGTAGATACCAACCAATAGCTCGTGAGGTGCTCGGTTTAATAACACACATTTCCAAAATCTACTTTTAAACAGTGTTGACGACGACCTTGAGTAGTTTTATGTAAGTTTCAACCCTGTTTGTTCTTTGCGTCGTGCATAAACATGGAACACCCTACACCCAACAAGATATGATAGGGTGGTGATAATAAAAAGTAAAAACAAAAATAAAAATAAAAACAAAATAAGCACACCTGACGAAGGCGATCCAGCTTGGAAGCATCATACACGGCCAACTGTGACTCATGAACAACAAGAAGGCGAACTTGGTCGTTATGAAACTGAACACGAGTATCCCCAATAGATGGTGATCTCCCTCCGGGCTGAACTTGCACAAACTTCGACTTCTTTTTCTCCCAGCCATCAGTTCCCCACATACACAACTGGAAAGAAGAAATGCGTCAGATAAAGATCTGGACGGGTCCATCCCGGGACCAGAGCACGAGTTTCACACGAAAATAGCTGGATCAAAGTGCAAATAGACAGCTGTATGCAATTGATGAACAAGTATGTACCTGAGCATCCGCTCCGGATGATACAAGAACATTGAGAGTGTTAGAGAAAGCTAAGCCAGTAATTCTCTTTTGATGACCCTTCAACTTGCTTTTCACCTGTGAACAGCAGAGAAATCTTATTAAGCGTATCAACGACAGTCTTATATTAAAACCGAGACATATGCATCAACACAAGTGTGACAAATCACAAAAGCGCAACTTATCTGGCAAGGACTTGATAACATACCTCATCCACACGAACATTATAAATCTGAATTGTCGAATCTTCCATTCCGATAGCAATGATATTGTTGTCTTGTGGATGAAATGCAAGAAAAGTAGCTGCTGGAGGTGGTGGCATGAATGTCGTCATGACCTGAGTCAAAATCCGAAGAAAAGCGTCAGAATAAAAATTGACAACTGTCAAAATTACCAAAAACAAAACGCTTCTCACCATATTATTAGAACAAAGAATAAAATAGACTCCTCATGATTCGCGGACTTTACCTTGAATGTCATCATGTTGAACAAAGAAACTTTCCCTCCGGACGCAGACATCACATAAGAGTCGTTTTTAGAGAGCGCTATGCAAGGCACGGCATCTTCAGGGTTGGTTTCGCTGATGTCATTGGTCATCAAAATACCGCTGGCAGGTTGCCACAACTGTGGTGTAACACTAGCAGTAGCCTGCAAAAACGATTAAAGATAAGCAGAAGAAAACATGATGTTATTCAAGACCCAAAGACATTATCCTCACGAAAGGTACACACTTCACTCAAACTTAACATGCAGAATTAGCGTTGTCGAATTTGGTGACGACTTATTATTGTGTAAAACAAAATAAACAAACAAGAGAGAAAAACAAAGAAGTGAAGGAGAGCAACAACAAAACAATAAATAATTAAAACATGATAAAACATAAGGAGGGGGAGAAAGAAAGAAAGAAGATTCTATGAAAAAACTGTGCAGGTTTGTCATCACACCTTGCCAGATACGTTGCGCTCGTTTCGTTGCCACTTCCAAAGTTTGTGCACAGCATTTGATGCCAGTGCCAACAAAGCAACTCCTGCATTGGTGTAGATAAGTCTTGCAACCTGTTGTCGCCACAAACAGACTGTCAACTATCCACTGGATCCAAGGTACATAATCGACACTCATGTATTACTATTGTATGCTAAGAGCTATCTACTTTTCAATGAATTCAGGTTGTGAAGCACTCTACATCAATCACTAGTTTTGGAAGAGCTATTAGACCTTGTTTGGTGGCAGACTATCTGGTAATCTAATTGTCCGGCATTGATTCTGTTCAGTAATTTCAGTCAGCTTCCAACTCTTGCTTCGATCTGGGATGTCGTCAGGTATTCTTGGTTTCGTCTCAGGTGTGCGGCCTCCTTCCATACCAGACTGCACAAAGATTATTCCAACCGCCATCAAATATTATTCAACGCACAGCCTACTTTTATCGTTTACACGAATTGCGAAACGGCACCAGACATGAAAAACCTTGTTACGCCACACGATTAAATTACAACTACAAACCTCCTTGACCATCCATTAGATGTTGGTTGAATTATACATTTGATATCAACCACCAAGTAATAAGCACCTTATCCAAGTTGAAAACGACTAATCAAGACTGCTTCAAGTCTGGCGTATCAGTAAGGGGCTCGTACAACAAGATGGGAAAACTCGTCTTGTAAACCCACATCAACACTGATGTGTCACAATTAACTTTAACATAAACTTGTTCAACTTCAACATTGCAAACACCACAAACACTGGCTGGACAAGATGTTATGCATGTTTCGGAAAAGTACATGGTCATTGCCGACCCTGTCTCGTGGTCGGACCCTTGATCCCCCCATGTTCAGGGTTGGACCATCCATAACGGACCCAGCCATTGACGAAGAGTTGGGTCGATCCCCACCGCCACCACCTGGAGTGCTCACAACCCCAAGTGTATTTCCGACTGGGGGCTGCAGTAGGTATTCACTTCGACAAATTAGCTCCAATGCTATCTAGACATTCGCTAATGGTTTGGTTTCCCGTTAAGCTTGCTGGTACAAAACACTCCACTCAAACCCTACAAAAATCTCATAAAGCATTCAATCCTTGTTGGAGCCGAGGGTGTGTTGTATCCGTTGAGGCAGAAGTAGATGAATCATCAGAACATAATTAGAAAAGTTTCACTAGAACTGTAAACCTAATCAAACGTTAAAAGAGAGAGGTGTGCAGGCAAGGAACATTTAAGCTAACCTTAGAAACAGCAGGCTCTGGAGGTGCTCGGTTAGTATCATAAGCACGAGCTTCCAGCGCACGAAGCATCTGCATCCCGTCGCGATTAGCCAAAATCTTAATACCATTATCTGAGGAGGTAACGGCGAGCAAAGAGCCTTCTTTATTAAATCTGAGGCGTGGACTAGCCTGCATCACAGGAAGGGAATGTCAGCTCATACTCAGATCAAATACAAGCCTGATTCTACTTCAAAATCTATGAAGACATTTTCACAATCACTACTCACCGGCAAGCCGCCTTCAGCATCAATTGTTGTTAGCAAGTTCGTGTTATCCATGTCCCAGAACTTGATCAAGAATTCGTCACCAGCAGCCAAGAAACGATTGCGGGTAGTATCGAACTGCACAACTCCGGAGGACCGCTTCCGGAAACCTGAGTATGTCCGCTTGATTGCACCCTCACTCTCATTCCATTCCACCAGATAAGACTCTCCATCTTTACTTGTTCCGCAAGAGAAGAGCCTAACATCAAAAAGAGAAAAGGGGAGATAAATCAATATTCACGATACCTCTACATGTAAGAAAAAGATGGAGGATCAAATTCTGACAGTAAATCATCATTGTACCGTTCATTGGCACGATACAGAAGCCAGAAGCTATCCAGATGGCAACCACAAACATCCATTTTAGATGGAGCATTTAGTGAATTAAACCAAACAACTTTGACACGTATAAAAGGCGAATCAAGGTTCTACATACCTAGTGCCATCAGCACTGTAAGCCATTGTAGTGCACCAATGCCCTGGTGCATCATAGTCAACTCTAGAACCAAGAAGATCATAGAGCCAGGCTTTTATCTTGCCATCGATAGCTGTTGAGAATATAAACTGGCATACGAGGTCATCCAAAGGTCAGAGGTTTTACACACCACACCGCACATTTCAGATACGAATTACTCCATTTTTGTTTTAATTCACATGGGGCTAAACATAAAGATGTCAAAAATGAAATTATAGCAACTCACGCACACACACACCTTACGAAGACCCAAACATGACTCTAAGAGAGCAAAAAAGAGAAGAAAGCATTGATACAAATGTCCCACCTGAATGCTCTCCTTGTGGTGTGGACAAACAGAGTACACGGGTGCTTCATGACCTTCAAAAGTATACTGCTTCCGCCCTGTTGCAGCATCCCAAACCTGAAGGATGTACAAGTTCGTCCAAAGTCAAATTCCAGATACAATTATCTAGAATAAAATTTGGTCTCTCTCACCATATGTAGAAATAACCCAAATACACAGGCATGGTTTGGCATACTGGAAATGGTCCAAATTAAGAAGTAGTGCACGTAGTAATGAAGTGCGCACCTTGATAGTTTTGTCATCTCCGCATGTGATAACGCATAGTTGTTTGTTAGGATGAGAAAAGGCAAGATCGTTAACACCGCCAACATGTGCGTCAATCTGATACCCCAAACGTGCCGTCAGATTTAAGGTAGGGAAGAGTAGAAAAGGAAAGCAGTGGTCAACTCTCAAGTGGATTGATGACGTACAATGCCGTGATGTCCACACACCAGGTCCATTTCTTCCTAGGGATAGTTACAGAATGGACGATCTAAAAACAGAAAGTATGAGAACGAGGTAGTGCTCAAGTAGATTGAATCGAACCTCCAAATGCTGCCGCAAATCACTGCCACCGTTATAAGCATAGATGTGCACGATGTGTTTAGAAAACGCCACACCTGGAAGAAAAACAAGCGCTAAGCAGGTCACGATGGGAAGGACTTGTGACATGTTTTCTAAACACAGGATTCTTTGAATAAAAAAATGCATGCATCGGTAAATCACGTTAGACGTGATGTTATCGAAATATGTGGACCTTGCTAGACACTAGCACTCACAGAGTTCTCACAACTACCTAGTGCAACGTATGTGATCGGGAGTAACTATTAGATTGGGAAAGACATAGTTACCCAATAATGTGCCATCAGGATTCCACACTGTTCTGTTGACTGACACGGCTGGATCTTTGACCAATGCAGCCTGTAACATGAGAATGCTCACACTTAAATGAGGCCAATCCCTAGAACAAACAGCCTAAGTAAAAGAAATAGTTGCAAAAGCAAGCAGTAGACATATGTATTTAGAAATATTTGCTCAACCGAAACAACACAAAAGTCCAGAGCCACATTTGAATGACAATCAGGGTAGCATTCGCATCCAGAACAGAAAATAGCACTCACCTGCATGGGCATAGAAGCAGCAGTAATGTCCCAGACTTTGAATGTTCGCTGAGCAAGCCTGTCTCGCGATCCCACTTCCCAAATTCCGATATCGCCAACGTTTGTACCCACTACACAAGAGCCCATTTCAGTCATGAAACTGAGGAATCACAATTTAAATTAAGCTACATTCAGGTCTGGCGTATCACTGTTCCTTACTTCTCACAGAAACCAGTAAATATGTCCTGGTCGAATTTGTGTAAATATCATAAAATTTACATCATATCAAAAATTATAGCCGCAAGAGGGTTCAGACAAGTACCAAGAAGAATGCTTAGCTGGATTGGATGGAAATCCATACTCATAACACATGAGCCTTGATTGAGAGACCGAGCTACATTCTTTGGCAAGTCATCAGGTGAAACATTGTTCTGAGGATGACTGGGACCAACACAATTCACCTGTCAATCACCCAGCTTCAGAAAAGCGTTGCCAAAGTACGAAGAGATGAAATTTGACTTGCAGCAAGAGACCCCAATAGAGCTGAACAAAAAAACACATATCGAACCATCCAAAACAACATTATTAGAGAGGCAACGCCGACGACGACAACAACAAACAAACAAACAAACAAAAAAAAAAAAAAAAAGGAGAAGGAGAGACTCATGATGCTTACTGTCTTGGCCTCATCAACTGATTGGATGCCTGGCCTGGCTCTCTTCATTAGATGCTCCGAGTCAGCTGACTGATAATCCACGGTTGGTGTAGTGCTTGGAGGAGTGCGGGGCCGCTTCAACAACGTGGCTGGGAATATACGCATCAAGTAAATTCATCAATACGTAATCCTACACTTCTCGCATACTACAAATCACGTTAATCATAACTAGGGAGCATTGAAAATGTTTGATTTAAAATGTTAAATTCAGGTTCAAGAATTCAAGAAAAAAGAAGACAGATATGACTAAAAGCTGACTTTTCAACTCTAAATCAAAACTTCAAATTAAGTGTGAGAGGGTCAAAGATGAACCTGAATTAGGGGGAGCGGTCAGGGCAGCTGGCCCATTCGCGACTGGGGCATGTGGAGCTGGTGGGTTTGGGTTAGCCATCCATCCAGCTAAAGCACTTGCAGAGGGTGGTGCTGGTTGAAATGGCTGAAGTCATCAAATACCACCGGTTAGCAGAACTTAAGAACAACCGCACCAAAACAGAACATTAAAATATGAGTGGATGAAAACAAGTTTTGAAATAAACTTGACATCGGGCAATTCGGTTTGTTTGAGAGTAATCATAAAATTATTCATCATAGTTTTGTTCACTGTCAATTGCAGCGATTCTAAACCCAAACTTTGAAAGAATTTTACAGTGAAATGCGAAGTAGAAACCAATGATGATTGCACACACTTACGCTGTGAGTAGTAAGAGGAGGAAAGGCACCCTGCTTCGGAAGCCCACCCACCAAGGGGTTGTTGGTAGGCGGTGGGGCACGGGCACCATTAGGAGGTCCACAAGTGTGATCAATAAACAGTGTCTTGATGTCAGGATTCGGCCTTGGGTTCTTGCAAAGCTGGTGCTGCCAGTTGAGACTGCAGGGTAACAAAATAAGCACAAGAAAGCAATTCTTATTTAAATTCTCATTAAGTACAATGAAAAGAATATTTAAAACAACACATGAAACGTTGAAAATGTTGCATACAAAAAACGATGAGCAACTCAGCATCGGATACCACCTTTTGAAGCAGTTTCATTTCGGCACGTTAGTAGCTATCTCGAGATGAAATTGACTAGTTTAAGACAAGAACTAAGACGATAATTACGCTGGAGCAATTCAACCATCACAATCAGAGTAATGTCGGATCGACAATAAACAACTGTGTATACTACTTAACTTTGAACATGGTAATTTAAGGTGGTACAGAGGCTAAACGTTACCTCTGGTTAATAAGGGTGCGCAGGCGGGATGCTTTCAATGACGGAAAAGCCAATTTGTCTCGGAAGAGTGGATTAGCTTCTATAAGCTTCTTGAGTTCTAGAAGCATAATGTTTCTGGCGGATTTCGTATCTCCGTACTTTGACAGCTGCTCATTTTCTCTGCACCAAATACCAAGCACAGAGTGGGGCCGCTTGAGTTTTCGTCATTTGGCTACGACTTCTTGTAACACTATAGAGCTACAAACACTTCACTATAATCGAACGTACAGGTTACCCTGAATACTTCACACATTTGGTGAGATGAGGCCCCCAGTCACACATGAAATTGTGCTGGCGAAGGCATTCACCTAAAGTTTTCTAGAGTTAGAAGCTGAGTAATCTCCTTGTAGAGTTCCTCATTGAAAGATGAGAAAACCTTCAGATCCTTGACAAGTATGTCCACAGCCTTAGCCCGGTCTTGCCTGCACAAGAACAAAAAACTTTAGGTGAACAATTTGTTTGAAAACAAATCATACACACTACGCCTTGGTCCCATCCAGATGATTGGCGAATAATCTGATCGACCCTGAAACCAAGACACAGCCATTCCTCTAAACAAACATTCATCTGATGTGTTTTGCTTCAAGTGGTAGAAATGAGCCCGCACGCGGCACAAATCGCTACATACTTATCCAGAGCTTCCAAATACTTCTGCTTGCGAATCTCAAAGAAGATTTTCATGGAATAGCGGTTGTCGTCGACTTTAGTAAACCCAGATAAATATCGTTCCACCTCCTCCCATTCACCACTTTGGACTTGGTCCTCGAAGTACTTCATATTGAAAAAGAATCCGGACTCTTGTTCCAACCTGGGTAAAGTGCATTATAAGCCCAGTAAGTAAAAGCAGTGGAAAAAATAGAGGCTTGCGTGAAAATCTTCGAAATAACTCAAGTTTCATTTGAAGCAGGCAGCATTGCGATATTATCACGGGTTATCGTTAAGAGCCTGACGCATCGAGATTTACACGTAACCAGAGTCCACCTAGGGGAAACACTGAAGAATTTGACTGATGATTGCCGTAAACAGAGGCACAATAATAAACGTTTCGATTTTATTGCGTTGACATCCACCAGAACCGTTCGGATTTGAACTACAACAAATAAATAAATAAATAAATAAATAACATGTATACTTTCGTTCATGTCCAATTCAATCATCAACCAATTCCTCGTCTTAACAAGAACCTACCAAGGAAAAAGGAAAAAATGGGAATATTCGCTCACATGGAGATACCGCAGTAGGTTGTACTAACCAAATTAAAAAAGGAACTGAAAAAAATGAAAACATGAAAAAATGAAAGGTACAAATCCAAAGGACACATGCCCATAAGTATGGAAATTCTGAACTAGTGGTAAATTTTATTACTGTGGTCAAAGCCACTCACATGAGGAGAAGTCACTTACTTATGCACTGTTTCCTTGAACTTTTCCTCATCAAGGAACTGCAAGATCAGGAACACGAGTTCCCTACTTAAGGACGACATTGTTCCCTGCTTATCGGCTACCTTGCTCCTCGATGATTTGTACCCACTTTTAAAGTACTGCCTTCATTTATTTCCTTGTCCCCTTCCTTTTCCAGAAGAAACTAGAACCGAGAAAAAACTTTTATCTTCCACGAAGCTCTTCCCCCTTTATATTTCACAGCGGATGCCCGCTACCCTGATTCCCCCGCTCCTTCCGCTGGATCACCGAATTGCCGAACCTTCAAACAAACTATATACTTGAGTTTGCAACGGTAAAATCTCAAGTTAGACACTCGAGGAAGTAAACTCACGCAGGATAAGTCTATCACCACCTCGTAAACGGAAGCTCCTGTCCGCCTTCTTACATTAGAGTATCAAACCGCGACTGATGAGACCAAGAAATATTGTAGGGGTTAAAAATAGCGTTCCTCCGCTCCGGTCTTTGCGACGACCGATGGCTGAACAACTTGCGACGAAGATGTTCTAGGTTCCTGCGCCCTGTGCCCTGAGCTCCCGCTCCCAGCTCTTGACCCTAACTTCTCAACAGCCCACGCTAACCATTTGCTTCCACACTACTTCGCTATGAAATGGACAACCACAGCTATCTCCGCACAAACCAAACGCACGATACACTCGAACCAGCGCCCTACTCCGCTCCTCCTCCTCCCAACACTCTCCGATGCTTGCTTCCTCTGGCTCACGTTTACCAGGCTTTATCTAGAAAACCTCACCCCTTAACCTCAACCCGTGAGTCAACCTCCCAACGTCCCCATGCTCGCCGACGCCGCGGCTATCACCTACAACCTGAGTCGTCGTCGTCACACTAACCCTTTCGAAGCACGCAACGCCACAACCGTCTGGGACTCGCCCTCTCTCACATCGATCTCCTGCTCCCTGCGACCTCCACACCGTTCGAAAACGGGTTCAATAAACCACTCCCACAACTAATCCAGAACAGGCTCAGAGACACAGCCAGATAAATGCCAGAAATGCCTCCAAGAGCAGGATTAAAATATTAAACAAAAAAACAATAATAATAATAATAATAATAACAAACTCGCTGGCTCCAAACCGCGTCGCAAGCCTCGGAGGCCTCGACGACAAATGCTCTCTCTCAACACACTCCAAAGGAATGGAATGGCAGACGAGGATGGGAAACCTCAGAGCAGAGCGGGCGGCGTGTCGACACGCTCCGCCTTTTGTACTCCTCTCGTAGCGACCTCCCAGGCTTCTCTACGTTCCTACCGATCAGGCTAAACTTCGACCGTCTTTCCCTATCTTGCAGAGCTGCCGGCCTCTGGGGACGCTTTGATAAGTCGTCTTTGCGCTTATCACTGCTGTTATTAGGTCAAGTTCTCGTATCAGACCAGTATCGGCCAGTACGCTTATCAGATGGATAGTTATCAGATCGAGGATGTTGTCGTTGAGTGCCGCTGCTTATAAATTGGGGAATGGGTCCTGCAGGGACTTTGAAGCTCCGCGTTGCCTGGGGCTTGGCTTGGCTAGGCTATGGCTTAGCTTGGCTTGGCTAGGCTATGGCTTAGCTTGGCTTAAGTTATAGGCTTACCTTGGCTTGGCTTGGCACGGCACGGCAATGGCATGGTCGCCTCGCTCCTACTGTAGCGCCTCGTCTGTGTCTCACGCTTGCTCTAGGGGGTCCGGCCGCTCTTCATTGCTGGTGCTTTATATTATTATTGTGGAAAGTGCGCTTTGCATGGTAGAAATTCAAGGATTTATTGATGTGTCTTGGTGACCCGGCTGTAGGGTTACAGCGAACGAACATTTGTCTCCCCTTTCACAGATGCCTTTCTCTATGTCAGTTTCCTGGCTCTGTTCCATGGGCGTGGATTTAATGTCAACCAAGGAGAGATTCATCCACTGCCGCGCTTCTACGTGAAAAGGCATATGTAGAAATATGTATGTACATATATATATATATATATATACACCCACATATTTTCGGCGTGGATTCCAAAAGATGTAGGGTTATTTTGAAACCTACTTCACGGTTTCAACAACTTCCTATTACTAGGAGCTTGCCTCTGTGCAGTGTTGCGTTGTATTTATTAATTTTTAATTAATGGCACAACTTTATAACTGTACCAGTGAAGCAGGAAGCAGGAACCCAGTTGTGATAGAGGAAATGCCAGTCTGTACACTTCCAGACATCTTCTTATTTCCTTTTTTTTTCATTTTTGTTTTCATTTTATCAGTGGTTGCTTTTGCAATAGGTTGGTGACGTGTGATTTAGGGTTTGCTGGTCTAGGAAAAGCAAGGTGTAGACCCCAAGAAAACAACTAAGAGCCTCGGCAATCATGGATAGGATTTCGGACTTGCCTTTGCTCCAGTCCCCCCTTCCCTTCCCTTCAGATTTCTTCTTGTCAGCTTCCTTTTTGTCTGACATGCAATTCATTATGAATCCCATTTTGCTTCAAGGAAAACACACACAAATATTCTTCCAAAGGGATCTCTCTTAGGAAATGTGACTAGGATACCCCCCCGCCTCCAAGCCTTCAAGTCTCATCGATGTTTCTATTTGTTCGTTTATCATTTTTTTCACTGTAATACTATTTTTGGACCCCTAGAAAAAATCGTATTTCTTTTTTGATAAGCAGGGGATACGAGAAAGTCTGTTGTCACTTTTTTCTCAAATGTATCGAAAGATACAATTTGGTAAATTTTATTTACCTAGTATGCTACAAAGTTAATGCTGTTTGATATGGTTACTTTTCTGTCTCATTTTTATTTTCCCTCATTTCTCTTCTCAAACCAGTGTGAACCAAGCAACTTTCCATACTGCAAGGAGTTTTTATAGTTTGGTGGTGTAAGATGAGGTGGGACCCATATATGAATGGATTCCCCAACTTCTCTCACCAGTTTGTTTTTTGCCAAGTGAGTTTTTTTTGTCACTTGTAGCATGGTGACTTTCTTAACAGATGTGACTTGTGGAGAGTGTGCCTGTGTGTATTTTTTATAGTTTTAAACAAAAACAAAATTCAAGGACCCCATTAAGGATGAAAACAAACTGTTGAACAGCTAACAAATGGAGTTTCCAAAACAAAATTTGCCACAATCAAAGCCAAATCAACACAATAATCATATTTGAAAGAAGTATTGGAAAAAATCCAGTGGTCTAATGTTTATCAAACTGCCTCTAAATCTCATTATATATATGTATCACCCAATTCCTCGTTTACTAGGTACTTGAAAGAGATGGGTTCTGCGTTCAATCTCTTTCACATGACTTCACTTTGGATACACAAGGCCTTCTGGTTTGATATCACACTGACACCAAAAGGGATTGATTAGTTTGCAAAGGCCTGGCTTCCTGTTTATTTTGTACACCTGATAATTAACAAATGTAAGTGACACATGACCCATTCATGAAAAACAGTTTCCCAAACTCTTTCATCCATTCCTTTTCTATCAATCTCCATCCCAAAGTCAAACCTCCATACAGGTTGTTGTTCTATGTGAGTATATCGTTTTTATGTACTTTCTGTATTTTGTATATATATTGTTAACGAATTCAATTTTACATCATCATCATTATCATCTTTTAACTGTTTTTCTTAATCTCACCAATAAACATGTACCAATATTTTAGGAAATGGTTCAATTTCCAGAGTTCTATTCAGTGCTTCAAAAATCTGCAATAAATATATGTAGGCCAAAAAAAGAAAAAAACAAACAAACAAACACATGCACACATAATATTTGTGAACCTTAAATTTTAAGTTTTGAAAAATAAATGATGAGGTATCCATGTTTGATGAAGTGTTGAAGTCAAGTGAACTATAGATGCAAATTTTAGAAAAAGATGAATCTCAAGCATTTGTTCATATGCACTTTCATTTATGTGAAGTATTGCCATCAAGCATTTTGTATGTTAGATATATGGAAACCATGAAATCTAAAATTGTGTGTACATGGAATGACCTGTTAGAATCTGAACTTCATGATCATTACATCTTATTTTTTTATTTCTTTAGATTTGTGTCTCAAATTTGGGTTTCACATCAAAACAAATGAAAATAAAAAAGTCCTTCAAAGGTGAGATTCTCTCTTTATAAATAGGAAAGCAAAATGCTGCTCACATGGGTGCAATATGAAAGATTTTAACAGAAAAAAGGAAGTAGTACAATTGTAACACTAGCAACCACTCAATGGACCATTTCATTGTCATTGTTCAGCACCAACAGTGTCATTTTCAATGCCTCTCGCATATTAATATGTATAATATATAAATATAGTATGAAACAACTCAGGAAAACTTTCAAATATAGATGGTGTGTTAAACCTATTACAGTGTAGTTGTCAACCATTAACATTGTCTACCAATAAATAGGATTTAGTCCATTTTCCCATACTGTGTCAATGATGTTGTTGGCTGTGTCTGCTTTTGACAAAGTGCATTCTTTTTTATCAATTCATGTTCTAATGACTACAAAAGATAAGAGATTGATGGATGTAGCAGCTTTACATTTGTGACAAGTGATGCATTGCACACAGTATGGGAATGTGACAAGGAGAGGGTGTTTTGTATAATAAGAGGTCCTTCACCAAATTTTATTTGGATCCTCTCATGGCATATGTGATAGATCCCATTTAAAAATGATCTTTAATCGATGTAACTTCATTTTCAGCAAATGGCTCAGTGAGAATCATGTCCATCACTTTAAGTGCTGCAAATTAAAAAAAATAAAAAAATAAAAAATTGAGGTATTCCACACTTTCTACCTTAAAATAAGGATTTTAAAACAAAAGTGGGCTTGGACAATGTTTAGATGTCTTGTGAGTTAAGTTTTGTGTAGTTCTTTTGAAGTTCTAAGTTTCTAGTATAAATTTAATCAAATACGATAAGTTTGAGATGCAATGCATGGATTTTTTCACAGTTGATTTGGTTTCATTAACTGAAACTTCAACTGTATTATGTAAAAAAAAAAAAAAAAAAAAAAAAAAAGGTCAGTAAACAAATGAAGATGGTACAGATATCTATAATAATATAAAATCAGCTCAAACATGATTGATTCTGTAGTTAAATTATGGCAAGGTCTAAGCCAGTTTACATGTACTTTAACTGTTGAATAAATCTCATTTACGTATCCAGTTCTTGTGAAATAATTTAGTTTTGTAAAACAACAAAAATTGATAAATTCTGAATAAAGTTATATTCTACAAAATCTCGACATACTTCTAGTTTATTTTATTTTGATTCATAAGTATGTTCACAAAAACAGTTTGTTAATTTAAAATCAGCCCTCAAAAATTAGTATTAAGAATTCAACATTATTGCTTCTAAGTATTTACATGTATTATATAATATCCAACTAATGTATTCTTGTATTCTGAGATTCCATGTGTTAAAATTTGCACTTTTGTACCTTCAGATTTGGTATCATGCATCACTCTTGGTCTATCCAGCTTCATCAGTTACTTCTTTAATCACATTGACAACATCAAAAAATCAGTTTAACTTTATAGATCCTTTTCCACACATGTTGAAAAAGACATTGGTATGGAGAAGTTCATTCATTTTGAAAAATCCTAAGAAAAATAGATTTCTTTCCTTAAAAAAAATGAAAGGAACTAGAACATATTCAAAATTGGATTGATTTTGCAAGACATGACCATTGAAAATATCAACAAATGAAAACAATAACAACACTAGTCAACATATGGAAAGCAGCCCTGCACATTACACACATACACTTGAAAATGCATTTAAGAAATAGGCTCATGGTCATATATGTTTATAGATTGATGGGCTTCTTTTTTCTACAGATCTTCAACCATCCAATACTTGAAATACTAGAATCCATGATGAATTCAAAACCAATATTTGTAACACTCCAATCAATTCCAACATGTCCACCTGATGTCATATACATGAACAACACACGACTGATATGATTCTCACATGTAGCCTTCAAGTGGAAGTTCATTGCTGGTATCATACAAATATATTTATATATATATATATATGGAAAGGGAGATAGTGAAGGCGTATGTGCACAGCTTCAGTCCCCATCCAGTAACATTTGCAGCATCTTTAAATTTTGAATTAGCCAATTCAATTAATCTCTGTCTTTCATTCCTCCTTCTAAATCTGGGAGTCATAAAAACAAGACCCTCCTGCACTCTGACCTCAAATTCAAAAATAATATAATAAAATCCAGTGA